CAACAAAGTGGTCGTTTCTCGCTCCTGGAAAAGTGGCTTTGACGTTGTACAAACCAATATTGACATTAAAACGGAGAAAATTAGAACCATATCTAGTTCGAAAACATACCATTAATGTGTCAATAACAGAACAGGAAAAAACACAAGTAGATTAAATTATGATCATCCAATAAATTGATTAATAACAGTCTCACTATATATACTTACTAACTTACTCTTGTTACTCGTGGAGGGGCACGAGCGGCTTCATCATATGTATTCCATACTATATAGTGTAGAGAATGAACACACAGGTGGGTACATTCAAATGCTTTTTGATGTAAAATTACAGAATATCTTAGTAAAATATGAGAACCATACATGAAACATTTCATTTGTAGCTCAGGTGGATTATTTTGTTGGAGTTTTGTCCTCTGTTCTGGATGGTTTGGTCATGAAGCTTTGATTGTTGTTTTGAACGACATCAACAGTACAAAACTTCAATTGGAAGTGAAGTGTTCCAATTTCTTCACATATTACTCACAGCTTGTCCTGTAGACCCCGACAAATATAGAAATAAAAATGAAATCAATGGGAGATACAATCACAATAAAGAAGTAGACAACGACAAGTTAAAGCTCAACAATCACCAATCAACATCGTGATCTACAGGACAAGCTAGGAGTCATGTATGGAAGAATTATGACAGTTCACTTCTATTTGAAGTTTGTGCTAATGATGTCGTTCAGAAAAACAGTGAAAGCTCAAAGACCAAACCATCCAGCTCAGATAACAAAACTCCACCATAACCTTTATAGGCTTTTGCTGCTAGGTTTACCACTTCTGATTGATGTCACATATTACTTATATCTGTCGACATAAGTAGCATACACCACAATAGTAGTGCTCCTCAACTATACATATAAATTAACGCCTAGGAAAAAAACAAACTTTTATGATATATACGTAACAGTTATAAATGAATGGTACTTGGAATTATTAATATTGAAATATTGTACTATGATTTTATCAGTTTTCAAATTTTATTGATTTTATCACAATTCCAAATTAAGCTATTCAATATCCACAAAGTTATTCATTGAAATAAGTCTACATGTATATATATGTATAATTAAAAAGGTCAGTCATATGCTTAAATAGTTCTAAAACCACATTACTACCTATACTACTACTATTACTCCTACTACCATCACTACTACTAATTAATAATAGTAGCTCTCTAATATTACTTATATTTTAGTTTAGAAGTAAAAAAACATTTCTTAATTAATCCCATATACAATGAAAAAGTTTAATAGTAATTCTACTTATAATTAATGATTTACTAAGTATACTCATTACACGTGGTTACCTTTTTTTAAAGAAAAATACCATTATTATTATGATTAATGTAGATTTATTGAATTTGACTAATTTTGTAGATCTTAAGTATCTAGTATGTTTTTGGCTTATTCAAACTGAAAATGAAATTAAAGTGAATATTATTTACACAGATTGAAATCATGAGTCAGTTGAAGCTAGACCACCATCGAAAACTTGGAATCACTGGACGGCCGCTTCGTCCTAGTATGGGACCCCCCAGCAATGCGCACCCACGATCCCGCACCCTGCGAGCACCTAACCGTTAGACCACTGAGCCGGCATCCAACGGTGTTAATGTCTAACTTCAACTAATCCACAAAGTTGAGCCACCATATACCATTATCTTCAGTGAGCTGATATCTCACAACAGACCTGGTTGTACTCCACTGGTAACGGCTTCCCACTAGAACTCCAGGAGTATCTCTTGGAGTCAGTCACTAGTGAGCAGATGATTATTATCAGAAGGGGTTTGTGGAGGTTTTAGAAATTTTCATAGATTGAAATCATGAGTCAGTTGAAGCTAGACCACCATGGAAAACCTGGAAGCACTGGACGGGGTGTGGGATCGCGGATGCGCACTGGTGAGGAGTCCCATACTAGGACGAAACGGCCGTCTAGTGCTTCCAGGTTTCCAATGGTGGTCTAGCTTCAACTGACTCATGATTTCAATCTGTGAAAATTTCTAAAACCTCAACAAACCCCTTCTGAGAATATTATTTAAACATTAAAATAATAGTAACACATTTACTGCGGGATGTACTACTTATATCGATATAAGTAGTATATAAATACTAGTTAGGAATAGAATGTTTAGCAGTAAAAGGTCAGGAAGATCGAGCAAGAAAGAATGGAAACAGAAAGCAATTAGTATGGAAATGCATGAATATTGAGGTTTGGGATGATTGACATTTTGAAAATTAAGTATTCGCTGTATGGGCCTTAGATATTACAAGGATGTTCTGTAATTTTGTGTTTAAATACGTTCGATTGCCCCTAATTGCGTTCTCGTTCACTACACTACAATCAATTTCGACTATGGTTAAGACCTTTTGTTAACTCCCTTGACAGACAATTTTATTCGAGCAGTAAAAATTCGCATATTTCTTTGTGCTATTATGATCACTGTCTTGTCTGTATAAACATGTACGCTTGATCACATGACAGCCTGGGTGCATATCTCTCTCTAGAGTAAATGTTGATAGCTTAAATATTACTCGACGAATCGTTCTTTTTTCCAAGTATATATGTACTGGAATCCTATCATTAGCCTTTGCTTTGCCTTGCTGCGCCCTTATACAATTTGACTATAAATTTGCCTATTTAATTGCTTGTGTATACTTATTCGCCTCTTCGCTTCAAATTCGATCGATGTGTTCATAACTTTGTGATCTGTGTTATCCGCCAATAAAATGTAGTTACCGCTTCTTATTACCTTCTGATTTTAAACACCGTTGAGATTTATATCATAAAGGTTATCAAGGTGATTGATTAACAATGCAAAGCCACTACAAAAACACTAAGCAGTAACAATGATTATATTGTGTGATTTTCAAAAAAATATCTGTAACAGTGGTAGTATTTGTAAAGATTTTTATTTTTCTGGCTAGCGTTTTTTAACGATTTAGTTTTCTACGGAATAGGGTCACTAACCCCATGCTCAACCCTCCTCCTTTATCCGAGCCTTGGACCGGCAGTAGCCCCAAATGGGCTACAGGCAAAGTTAAAGGTTTTCATACTTTTCCATTATCTATATGAAGGACTAAAACAAAATGATCAGTCTATATTGGCATATACCCATCTTAAACAGATTGTTTCAATATAACTATTTGTTCGCAAGTATTTATTAAAATTTGATAATGATTAGCAGTAATATTTAGGTTGTGAATTTTATTCTATTCGAAATTCATCAGCATCCTATTGATGATGTTCATAATGAGATCCGAAATCAATACCTTCAGATCTAATCATCAAAGTAAATGCATATACATATACACACAGAGATATGAGTATGAATTCTAAAATTTATTAATGATATAAAAATTCTTCTTTTGAATTTTAGTTAATGGTTTATCGACTAATTAACTAAGAGCATATATTTCATGCATGTTAGTAAAGATGTATATGTAGGTATATTTTTTCTTATTTTTTGTAGGAATGTACTCCCTTCAGCTACACTTTATTGCATTCATATTATATTCATCATTACATCTTGAAATTTAGTAGTTGAGTTCATGAGTCAATTGAAGTCAGACCACCATGTAAAACCTGGAAGCACTGGAAGGCCGTCTCGTCCTATTGTGGGACTCCTAAGCAGTGCGCATCAACCATCCCGCCTCGCGAGATTCGAACTCAGGACCTAACAGTATGGAGCGCAAACGCCTAACCTCTAGACCACTGAGCCGGCCGGCATCCAACGGTGTTCATGTCTAACTTCAACTAATCCACGAAACTGAGCGACACATCCCCCATTGTCATCAGTGAGTTACTATCTCACAACAGACCAAGTTGAACTCCATTGGTCACGACTTCTCATTAGAACTCCAGGATATACCTCTTGAAGCTAGTCACTAGTGAGCATATGTTGATTAGTATCACAAGGGATTTTGTGTATATTATAGTAATGTAAATAGTTTAGATCATGAATCAATTGAAGCTTGATCACCATGGAAAACTTGGAAGTACTGGACAGCCATTTCGTGCTATAGTGAGACTTCTGAGCAGTGCACATCGACGATGCAGCCTAATGAGATTCGAATGCAAGACCTATCAGTCTTGCGCGCGAATGCCTAACCTCTAGACCACTGATTATATAATTATCCGAGGGGTTTTGTGGAGATTGTAGTAATTTCAACAGTTGAGATCATGAGTCAATTGAAGCTGAACTGGCTTCAAGAGATATATCCAGGAGTTATAGTGAGAAGCGGTGACCAATGGAGTTCAACCGAGTCAGTTGTGAGGTAGTAACTCACAATTGATTGATCACTGGGTGGTGATCAATGTCATGCTTGTCTAGTCCTTATTAGTGCAGATCGAGTGCTATCGATCATGTTGTAATGTGGCCACCAGTCTAGGTGACTCGACACTGCGGGCACTATGTATTGAGATTAGATGGTGGTTGGAGGTAGTCAACAGGAAACCCTGGACCCGGGTTTCGTGCTACTTGGCACTCGTCAGTAAGGTGTACCTGTAATCTTGAGGGAACTGGTGCTCTCTGGCGGATTCGATCTCGTGTCACCCAGTTTCACAGTCAGAGACGTTACCACTGAGCTATCCGAGCCTTGACTGACCTCCTGTAGGACTGAGATTTAATCACAATTGATTGATCACTGGGTGGTGATCAATGTCATGCTTGTCTAGCCCTTATTAGTGCAGATCGAATGCTATCGAACTCACTGATGACAATGGTGGATGTGTGGTCTAGTTGGTTAAACGCCTGGCGCGAGACCGATAGGTCCTGATTTCGAATCCCGCGAGGCGGGGTCGTGGATGCGCACTGGCCATCCACTGCTTCCAGGTTTTAAATGGTGGTCTAGCTTCAACTGATTCATGATCTCAACTGTTGAAATATAATTATCCAATTCAATCACACACATATATATTTCTATCTATAAAACTATAAAATTACTTACCTTTTATAGATTTAACTACATTATTATTCTATATAAAAGAAAAGAAACCTTATCAAGATTATAATATGCTTCAACCAGATGAACTTGATGCAATAGAAAAATTAAATGAATTATGTGAAAAAGAAGAAAAATTAGATAAACAACCATTTAAAAGAAATCATAAAAATCATCATCATGAACATCATAATAATAATTTATCATCTGTATTTCGTTGTAGTGATACACGTACATTGAAAGCAATAAAAAATGTATCAAAAGATGAATTCAATACTACTAATACTACTGATACTACTACTACTACCAATACTACTAATAGTAATCATAATAGTAATATAGATGATAATCATTTAATACCAACTGGTTTACCAAGAATTCAAACAAAAATTACTGTTAAAATATTAAAATATGATTGTTGTATCACAGTAATATTAGATCCAACAACTAAATTAAATACAATTAAAGCAATGTATGATTTAAATGAACAACTTATTATTATTGGTTATCAACGTTTAATTACATTAAAAACATTAGATCATTTGCCAATGAAATTTAATGCAATTATTGAACAAAATAATAATTTAAATTATGATTTAACAACATACGTTGAACATCGATATAAAGTAAATTTAAATATGTATTATTTAAATTCAGCGCGTGTAAAACAAAAAAATAATATTGTTTATATTATTATACCGCGGAAAATTTAAATATATACATATTCAATCATAATAATAATAATAATAATAATAATAATAATAATAATAATAATATGAATATAAATACATATCTTCCTCCCCACCCCTCCTATCTTTTTGTTGTTGCTATGAATGGTATTGAATGATTTCAATGGTTAATGTTGTTACCAAATATGATACATCAATTGAATATTGAACGACAGATGTATTAGAATGGTCAAAGTTCATTTATTTCTTTGTTTTTTTCTATATATCATACCGCTTGTATATGACATAATTTTCTTTATATTGATTGTTTACATTTCATTAGGTCTTTTTTTGTGGTTGTTAAAATCAAATATGTTGTAATCACTTTTACATCATTATATAAATTGGATTTCGAAAGTGTGTAATTGTCCAATTTCAGATGATAAAAAAACGTTTTTTTTTGTAAAGATCAGTTGTTTTCTTTCTTCTCTCAATATATTCTATCTGAATATGAATTATTTACATACTTACTTATGATTATTACACTTTGTAGAGTACTATAAGCTGCTCACCAACATTATCCATCCAATTTTGTTATAGACAATCTTCTACAGTTGTTTCCAGTTGATATTTATCCTTTTTATGTCTACTTCTAATTCTCTACGTAGTATGTGTATTCTTCGAACTTCCTGTTTTCAGTTTCCCTTCACGATTCCTGGTAGTAAGCGGTTGGTTCGTGTTGCAGTTTGATGATTTCCGTAATGTATGTCATATACACCAACTTCATAGTCTTTTTCTAACTTTCTCCTCATCTGGAAGCTGGTTTGTTATCTCTCACAGTAGGTTGTTGCTGATGGTTTTCATACAACGGACACTGAGTATCTCGCGTGGAAAAATGTTCATAAATACTTTTACCTTTTTGATGACGGTTGTGGAAGTTTCAGCTACGTACAGTAGAACTGACTGTGTTGACGCTTATATTGAAGATTGTAACTTTGATATTGGTTGACAGACAGTTGTTTTGAGTTGCGTATTTTGTTTGTTCAATTGTATGAATGCTGTCCTTCCTTTGCCAATCCTCTCCTTTACGTCTGCATCCGATCCTCCTTGTTCATCGATAATGCAGCTAACCAGATATGTGAAAGATTCCACCTGTTCTGGAGTTTGAACTACTTCTTCTGGTTAGCGTTCTAGTTTCTCCATCAAGTGTGATTACGTTGGTTTTCTATGTGTTGCATTTGGAAGTCATCATTTCTCCCTTGTGTATGTTGAGACTTACTGATACAGATGCTGCTGTTACACTGTTTGTCTTGACCTGCATTTGTTGGTGTGTATGAAATAGAAGAGCTAGGTCATATACGAAGTCAGGATCGTATAGTTCCTTGCAAGCTGTTAATTATATTCTGTGCTTTCCGTCACATGCGGAGGTCTTCATAATCCAGTTAACCAGAGAAAGTGGGGGAGTAGGCAACCTTGTCTGACTTGGAATGCATCTGCAAGCTGCTCTCCATGCATCACTTTACAGTGTAGTCAGTCGTGTGGATTCCGTATGATATTGACGATTTTCTCAGGTACTCCATAGTGTCAAAGAAGTTTCCATAATTCTCTCATCCACATTGTCTAATCCTTTCTCATAATCAAGGAAGTTGATGTACGGTGACGAGCTCCACTCAACTGATTGCTCAACGATAATCTGTAGTGTCGTTATTTGGTCTGTGCACAACCAATTTTTACGGAATCCCGCTTGTTGATCTGGAAGCTGGACGTCTACTGAATCATTCATCCGGTTCAGCAACACTCTGTTGAAAATGTTTCTTGGTACTGACGGTAGTGTGATTCCTCTATAGTTTTCATACTTGCTCAGATCTCTTTTCCTTGTAATCTTGATGAAATGTCCTTCTTTCCAGTCCGTCGGCAATTGTTGCTCCTCCCAAATCTTCCTGAATAGAATGTGGAGCATGTTTTAAGTTACTTAAATGTCTGACTTTAGTGCTTCAGCTGGAATAATGTCTGGTCCTCCTGCTTTCTCGCACTTAATTTGTCTCATGGCCGTGCTGATTTCTTCGATCGTTGATGGAGTGACATCAATAGAAATGTCTGTGTGTGTTACTTCGATGTTGGGTGGATTCAATGAAGCTGGTCTATTCAAGAGTTGCTGAAAGTGTTCTACTTATTCGTTCCTCTGTTTTTGAATCTCGGTGATTGGCTTATCTTCTTTGTCCTTGATCGGTCTCTATGGTTTACCATATTTCCTTACCAGTTTCTTCATTGACACTTAGTTGTCTAATATTTCCTTCTCTTGAAGCCTTTTCTAAGTACTTCTGCTTGTCAGTTCCTTAATTGCTTGTTTGTATATGTGTATTCATCTTTTGCCTTGACTTTCTCTGTTATTGTTCGAATTTGTTGATTACTGTCTTCTTATTCTTCCGTTTGAGGCTTGTCCAGGATTTCCATAGAGATCCATTCCTTAAGATGATGTTTGTTGCGACCCAGAACCTCCTGACACGTTGAAGTTAGTGCTTCTTTGATTCCTTTTCAGTTGGTTTACATCTTAAATTCCAGATCTCTGAGTAGATTTAGTAAGACTTGGAACCTGTTATTGAGAGTTATCTTGAATTCGTTAAGTTTTTCAGCATCCGGAAAAAAGATTGTATTGAACCTTTGTAATGCTGTTTCTCCATTTGTCTAGTACTTCTTTAGCTTCAGTTTCATCATGAAAACCAACAGTTGGTGGTGATCCGAAGTCATGTAAACTCCATTCTTGCTTCTCACGTCTTCCATTGACCTCCTGAATTTTTTAATGATGCAGATATGATCGATCTGGTTCTCTGTAGTGTGATCCGGTGATACACATGTAGCTTCATCTCTGTGTTTGTGTGGGAATATTGAGTCGCCTATAACCATTTTGTCGAAGGCTTATAAACTTGCAAATCTATCACCATTCTCGTTCCTTTCTCCTAGTCCATATCGTCTCATGATATCTTCATTTCCGAGGTTGTCCATTCCGACTTTCTCGTTTAAGTCTTTCATCAGGATGATCAGGTCCATTCCTGGACACCTCGCTATGATCGATTGCAGCCTGTCATAGAACTGATCTTTATTATCGTTGTTGCTGTTATTGGTGGGTGCATAACATTGGATAACATTCATTGTGATGCTCTCGCTCTTTATTTTGAAGGATGCTCTGACGACTTTTGATCCATGAGACCCATCCTATACGTGCATTACGTGCTTCTCTGGACAGCATGATTACAACTCCTTGAGTGTGTGGAGCATTTTCTTCTTCGTGACCGGATTACAGCAACATTTCTCCCATATGTAGATTTTACTATTCAGCTTGGGTACAATGGGTTCCACTGATTCCGAGCACCGTCAAGTTGTATATCCCTATTTAGGCAGTTATTTGATTAATTCTCTCGGTCTTATATATTGTATGAACGTTCCATGTAATTAGAACGTTTTTGCTGTTGTTGTTGGAAGGGGCATCGGCCTCGTGACTTCCGAAGGATCTAGGTTTTCATCATGAGTCGTCATAATTTTTCCTTCAACTCGGAGTCCAAAATCTGAATTGTTTAATTAACTTTTTCTAACTAGCGTTTATTTAGCAAGTTCTTTTTTACGCGATGGGGTTGGTGACCCTATGCCCAATCGACCTTTTTTGATTGGGCTCGGGACCAGCAGTAACTCTATAAGAGCTACAGGCAGAGTTGTAGATATGAATTATTGAAGTGCTATCTTGTAATCAGTCAGTCAGTAACAACGTAGAACTTCGTACATACGTGCATCAGTTCGAGTTACCATATCACATTAGCACACAGTTACAATTGTTCATTCAAATCTCATAGTGGTAGAGGTAGTAATAGTATAAGCAGTAATCGGAAACATTACGGTTTCAAGATGTTATTCAACCAGTATAATCCAGCGAAATAAATTTGGAAAGACGAAAAACAAGGGACATGAAGAATTCAGAATATTTGAATTTAGAAGAACACAAGGAGTAGATGCACCTATTCCATTGCAAACCATTTTGAGCCATGTCATTCGAGGTCTCTAACCATCGGTTGCTATCATCTCGCGGATCCTAACCAGGTAGTTTACACCTACCAACATGGCTCAGTCCACTCGTTAGTGACTTCATGGATTTGTGCCATGTTTTGATCTGGCCGCCCTTAGCTTTCTTCCATCCTACTCCCCTTCACCATAAAACATCGCACATCGGGGCAGTCGGTCGTTGGGCATACGTAACACGTGTCCCAGCCATTTCAACTGAAGTTTCACTACTTCATCAACTGATTTGCCATCCTTACCTAGTACTCGTTTCCTAACAACTGCGTTACTTACTCGATGGTACCAGGATATACGAGCAATGTTTCGAAGACATCTATGATCAAATACTAGTAACCTACGAATATCTTCTGTTATTACCGGCCATGTTTCACAGTCATAAATTAGGACGTAACGGACTGCTGCGCAGTAAACACATCCTTTGGTTGGTGTCGGATATCTCACCTACACCATAAATGACGCAAGTTGGCAATAGTTGCCTAACTTTCATTACTAATGGAGTTAGATTCTACCATTTGGTCCTCATTATAAAACAAAAGCATACAATATAAACCTTTACATTCAACTAATTTTTAGGAAACAATTATGTTCAGAGAACTAGGAATATTTTAAAAAGTGCTGTTCAATTTGGTAGTTTAAAAGAATTTGAAGTAATATATGACCGCTAGGAAGTCGAATTCGAAGTTAACAGAATATGTCCTACTTTGATTAAGAAATGACCTTTTAGTATTCATATTTATTTCTAAAATATCTTCATGGTGGTTATATTGATTTAAACAAAACAAGAATTGTGTACACAGAAAGTTTACGCACAAATTTTAAACTTATAATTGACTAACTAAAAGTTCATCTATGTAACCCTCCACATTTGACTGTTTATGACACAACTAGACCATGAACTATAAATCTTATGCGAAACAACGAAGTGTAATGACAAGTTATTGTATAGATAGTTTATCTAAAAATTATAGTCTTATTTATTAACATCTCTGTTCAGTACATTGAATAAATTGAAATACAAAGAGGATAGCACAAAAAGGGCA